CCTTTTTTTACCAAATATATAGAATTTTAGGTAAAATTTGATCAAAAATCTATCTTCTAAACCTCATAAGATTTTTTTTTTTTGAAACTGTAGAAAAATTAGATTATTAAAATTTAAAAGTAATTTATAATACAAATTTTAAATATTTATGAATAAGTTTTTAATATTTAGGAATAGTTTCGAATAATGTTGATATATATACGATAAATTTTGAATGATATGAAGAAAAAAAAATCAAATTATAAGAATAATTCGATCGAATAATGTATAAAAAATTATTCGACGAATAATATATTTTCCTAATCCGCATTCGATTCGAATAACTTTGTTATTTGTATTGGTAAAATACGAATCGAATATCGAATAATTCGCTTTAGGTATAAGTTTACTGAAATACATTACATTAAAAATAATTACATAATATATTCATAAAATATATCATAATGGCATGACACACATGCGATTTTAATACAATAAATATTTTTTATAGTTATAAGAAAAATTCCCCTAACGATTGATTTTTAAAATAAATAAATAAATAGAAGCAATTGCATAAATGATTCCTTTTCTTCTATTGCACTTTGTAAACCTGAGGCTACGCCTCAGATATGATTCGATGTTCTAACGAGCATTGTGTATTCCAGTTGGCACACTGTAAAATATATTGAAATCTCTGGCAAAATATAAAACAATATGTCATGTTGCTATAAATTTTTTATTTTAATTGGTATAACGTGCAATAGAGGGTTAAACAATTTTGCTCTAAATTCTTGCTTTCCAAAAAAAAAAAATGTATAGGTAAATAAGTAAAAATTTAAAGAAAGTTAAGACATTTTTATTTTCTATGCTATAAAAATGCGAATTTTTTTAGGACTTCAAGTATTGGCGTCAATTGTATCGCTATCAACCGAATAATATTCAGAACCAGAACCCTTTTCCAGTTTGAAGGGTATTAAACAATGATTCTCGGTCAGACATTTTGTAGAAGAAAATTCTTTTTATGCATCCCCATCTTCATCTAGCTGAGAATCGGATTATATTTATTGTAATACAAATCATAAATTTTTGCGTTTAAACCAAAAAAAAAATTAACCTACAGACCGTGTTCAATTCTAATAGCTCACTCTAAACAAAATATAAAGAAAAAGGCTATGTAGATTTAGCACACACTTAAATTCTAACAGTAGGACGTCCTAGTTATTCTGAAATAGACGGATCTAAAAAATAAGATGAACCAGGAAACGGCCAATATGTTTACACAAATTTATATGTACGCTTATATTTTTGGGCGGATTATTTGCTATACTGCTAGTTAATAAATATTTTTTTATTTAATTATATATAATAATAATAAAAAATATTATATTATATTTAAAATCTACTTAAATATTTCTTCTAAAAAAATATATAAATAAAACACGCGATTTAAATATACTTTGTTCTATTATAAATATTATTCGTTTTGAATAATCGAAGAATTTCATTATCTTTAAATAATAACTCCTTTTATGGGGAAAAAAACCATATTTCAATATACCCTTATATCTATTTTATTTGTTATTCAAATTATATTTGTTATTCAAATAAATTCATCTAAATTAATATTAAAAAAATGTTTTATTTAGATTAATTTCTATATGATTTAATGTTATTATAATAAGTTAATAAGCTACTTCATAGGCATGGCCAGGATTTTGCTAAGGGGGGAGGGGTGGAGGGTTCACTATTAAACGGGTTTCTTCCCAAAAATTTTCTTATTGGAGGTATTTAGGTTTGCTTGTTGAAGATTATTGGCTATTTTAGATTTTTATAAAAATAATTTTGGTGTTCACTTATCTATTTTTTTATATATAAATATTGATTTTTTTCCTAATAATTTTGAATTTCGTCGTCATTTTAAAAATGCTATTAAATTTAACTTTTCTTTATAGTTATATATTGTATAAATTTTATTGGAAAAGGGGGGTGCGGGAGTGTAGAAAATAAATTTTAGCTTAAAATGATATTTAAGAGAATGGATAAATTTTAGGGAATTTTCTTTGACTTCCTCTGGTTATGTCTATGCTTGCCTTGAATTGCTAATCTTCAAAAAAGAAGGGATTTCGTCAAAACGAATGATATAGGCAATATTTATATCGATTCTAAGCAGGGTTTGAAATGCTCTTCAAAATAAAATCTTCAAAGATTTTGATCACTGAAAGATTTTCTAAAAAATTTTGGGTAAGTTCAAACAAGTTTTTTTGATCAAATTTTATCTAAAATTCAAAATCTTTTTTCAAAAATCAAGTTAATATTTCGATATTTTTTAAAAAAAACTTCAATTTTTTGATTTTCAAAGATTATTAGCTCAAAATTTTGGATTTTTTCATTCTGATTCTAAGTATAGTTGTATCTTTATAGATGAGGCCCACTTCTTTCATGCCTATTATTTGAAATAGCTTTCATTAACTTAGTAGCGGCCCGTTTCAACTAGATTAATATGAGTATCTTAATTTATTGATATGCAAGCATGCAGCCCATACTGATATGATTATTAGGACGCTATATTTTAAAATTTTATATATAAACTATTATAAAAAAAATATCTCTTATTTTAATCTTATTCCATTTTGATCCAATAAATAGACTTTCCTGAGGCTATAATTTGGTATGTTCTGTAACTGTTATGGGATCTACTATCATTAATTTGATTAATGGGCAACCATATCTTTTCCTCAATTGTGGGTAAAAGAAGGATAATGATCATGGGGACGTAAAAAGGAAATATATATCTTCTTAGTAATTTCGTTACTTTAGTATCGTGGGTAACCACCAAAAATCTTCATAAACATATGTTACGAATCCTTTGATATCAACAAAAGATAAATTATAGGGATTTGAGATATGATTAATTTTAGAGTGCTCTGCATATGAATATATTTCTGATTTAACTTTACTTAAATCAAAAGAAATACCGCATCAGAGTTCTTGGAAGGAGAGAGCTAAGTTGAATTAGAAGTTAAACCTCTTCTAAATTGTATTGTTCGTTGGTTATATATGTAAAATTTAGTGATGGCACGTTTTGTTTTGCAAACTGATATAAATCAATTGGTGTTAAATGTGTCCAGAACTGGTGCGCTGAAGGCTTGAACGTGCTACTAATCTTTTTAATATTCCTCCAAGGTCGTCGCATGGACCTTTTCTATTGGAATGGACCACCACATCCTTCTTTTACTCCATAAGCGATATCAAATAATAACGATATGATCCATAATAGTGACAGGATATATCTACAATTATGGCCTCAGGAATTTCTATTAATAAGCGCAAAATGGAATACGATAAAAATAAGAGATATGTTTTTATAATATTTTGTATTAAATATTTTAAAATGTTAATTTTACAATATGTCCTAATAATAATAATATCTCTACGGGCTGCCTGCTTACATATTGCCCCAGGACATCATATTAATTATATTCAATGGATTTTTTAAAATTTAATCACAATACATTTCATATTTTTATGAAAAATATTTTACTATAATGATTTTTGAATAGAACGCCATCTATATTATCCTCTTTATTTATATAAATAAAAAAAATTCAAATAAAATTTAACAAAAACAAAAATGGCTATCAAGATTTTTTATTAAATAGTTTAATATAAAGGTAATAAACATTTTTAGATAATACTAGCACTCAAAAAACTTTTGTCAGCAATAAATTTTACCGGAAATATAAAAACAGTTGGAATTTTTTTTTCAATATTTTCCAATGTAAAATTTTAAGGGCTATAAATGAGAAATAATTTGTAACTCTATCTTAAGTATTAACAAGATTTAATGAAATCATGCGTTGCACACTTTGAAGGGAAAATCTTTGGATCTGGTTAGTGTTGTTAAAAGGCTCTATTTGAGCCGATTTTTAAAAACGGCTAACTCAACATTATACCCAGGAAAATATTGCTTAAGTGTCTAGATTTTGTCAATAGATGTTCAATCCCATGATATATGAGCAAAATCTTTAGGCTTGCATAATATTTTTTTGGATAAAAAATTTAGTCAGCCGTTTTTAAAAATCGGCTCAAATTGAGCCGTTTAACAACACTAGATCTGGTTGATAGCACTCTAAAATTTTGAATTTGCTAAAATATATAACATTATAACTAAAATGCCAAGTATTCATTTTAAAGATGGTCGTTTAAAAAACTCGTTTTTTTGGTTAATTAAAAATATTAATAGGGTCATAAAAATTGACTCATATTAGGCTTTTAAAATCCCTAGTTGTTACTATCAAGTTTTGAAAGTCATCAAACTCATTCTTTTATGCTATGTAACTTCTATATAGTAAGAACAACACAAGGATAAGATTAATACAGTAATTTTTGTTGCAAATTACAATATATCGTCGGTCTAGAATTGGAGTGTTTCACTTGACATTTTCAAAATTTTTGAGTTAGAAGTGGATAACTTATTTATTCTCAATATATATAAAAATAAAAACTAGATTAAAAAATATTAATTTTTGCCAAAGTTATAGCTCTGTCAAAATTGATCAATAAGTTTTTCCTATGTTTGATTTTAAACTTTAATGTTGATTTTCTCATTTTAAAAATTTGTGCAAGTGGAACCCTCCAATTTTAGGCACAGCATATTAGATCATTTTTCAAACTGATTGATAATAACTTCTACTCAACCATTATTTGAAATTAGATTCTAAGAAAATTCACAAAGATATCATTTAAAAAAATATTTAAGCCTTGGATAGCTTACATTAAGTAAGCTGCCAACTAAACCTCATATACACTTTAAAAGATGTGATAGGTCCACCAAATTTGTAAGGGCTCTGTTACTTTTAAAGAAAAGTATAAAAATCAATAAATATAATATCAATTAGATTGATATTATTTCTAAAGGAATATTTTGTATTTTTTAAATATTATTAAGGTTTTTAAACAAAATTTATAAGGTACAAAAAATAATTATTTTTTAATATAAAGACTATATAAAAATGAGCAGCATAACTATTTAAAAGATAAGATAATATCAAAATATATAAAATAAAATGTTTAATGCCATATATAAATTTTATAAAAAAATGCATATAAATACATGTATAAAAGATTTTGAATATTTTGTTATTTAGAATTTGATGCAGATGACTTAGGAATAAATTTAACATGATCACCGGTGGCTATAATATTTTTAGAAATCTTGTCATATATTTTAGCCCTAGCAAATGATATATTCACACCATGCTTTTCACAATCACCTTCAATAACTATCCTATCCCCCACTTTGGATTTATTAAGATATCTAGTAATATTAATTCATTGTATAAATATATATATAAATAAGGTAAAACAACAATGTAACATTTCTATATTATAATTTTCCATATTTTACAATTTAGGATTATAGATATTTGAATCTTATCTTTAAAATTTCACAATATTAACTTTTCCCTACATTTAAGGTTAAAAATAAGGTTCCATTAAGGGTTATGTTAAATCAAAGTTTTATGATGTAATATATATTAAGACTTTATATATATCTTGATAAAAAAAATTACGAGATATTCATGTTGATGCTAAATGAGGGTTCAAGATGTGGATACTGCAGGCTCACAATTGCAAAAGATGTGACATGATCTATCAATGTGGCAATTAAACCTCCATGTAGAGTATTTGCAATATTTGCATGTTCCTTTTTTATATCCATTTCTGCAATACACTTACCATCTGCACAACTTACCAATTGTAGCTTCATAAAATAAATATAAGAATACCTATATAAATATTTAATATCATAATTTTATTATATTGCATTTTTGTTTAATAATTTATAAATCTGAAAACTTCGCCAAATGTCTGACCGTAACCATGTTTTAGCATTATTTCCCATGCATTTTGTATGTTTTTCATTTTTGCAAAATTCCTACTAAAAATTTTCATATGCTATTTTATCATGCAGGCATGGATAATAATAATTTCAAGTTTTAGTATTGCTAATGCTAAATATTATCTCTAGTAATCACATCGAGACATTACTTTTTAAAATAGATAAATTGATGTCGTTAAAAGAGAGAATCAATAAAATTTAGCTTCTTACAAAATTCAATTGGCACCCTGTAATAAATTAATAAAATATTATTTACTATTATATATAAAAATAGAATGGAACATTCGAAAATTAATTAATAAAAAATTTGATGTTTGAAATAAAGTGAAATAAAAACTAGTAGTAGTATTTATTTTATTTATCTTTCTTTTTCACAATATTTTATTTATCTTTCTTTTTCACAAAATCAAAATTGTATATATTAAAAGAAAAAAAAATTACAATCTTCGAATCATAAAAAAAACATTATATTATTTTCTTTTTAAAAATAAAATACAAAAAAATCTTCCTCATTTCTTTTTCATATAAACATATAATATATATATGACATCATTTCTTTTTCACATAAAAATATAATATATCCTTGACATACTATAACACGCCCCCCTTAACAAAAATCCTGGGCAAAATTATATATATTTTTTTTAAATCGCTATGCAAAAAAAATTTTAATCAGCGCATAAGCATTCAATAAATGATTCAAAAAAAAATTAATCAGCGTATAAACATTCAATAAATGATTCCCATAATTTTTTGTTTAAACCATATTTTATGTCTGCATTTCTTCTTTATCACTTCATACACTCAATCAGATCTTGATAATTATCCCAGTATTGCTTTTAGAAGGTCGATTCTAACGTTGCCATCCTCCTTTCTTTTAGGCGATTTTCGTAATATCCGTCATAACTTGTTGTCCTCCTAACATAGTGTCGTTCCTCTTTTACGTTGGACATACGATGCACGTGGGTAGTGGTTGCTTTTTGATTACACGATTATTTACACCATTGAAACCATTGAGATCTATATCTTTATTAACCAGGAACTATCCCTACATATTTTCTTTTTTTTACAATTTCCTCTTTCAACCATTTCTATGCACTCTCTTCCGTAACTGATCCCTGTGCCTGACACCTTCGCTATTATCATCAAATTTCACTTTATTTAACTTGTTTCCCAAATTCTCTATTACTACAACTTTCTCCCATTTTTTAGTACTTCCATATAATCTAATCCTTACTAACTGTCCTACAGTATATTCCAATTCACTTCCATCAATTTCCTCTACAACTACCTCAGCTTTACTGGATATTAACATATCCAAAAACATCCTTACCTTCCGGCCTATCATTTTTTCCGCCGGAGACAAACCATCATTACCCATCGCATTATTATAATACAAATGCTTTACCCACATTTCTCCTTTTCCACTTTTGGTTTTCTTCAACCATCCTTTAACCGTCGCTACCATCCGTTCCGCCTGTCCATTGGAACTGGGATGATACGGTGGCGTTAACAGATGATATACATCCGTTTTTTCACAGAATCTCTTGAATTCTTCCCCGATAAAAGCTGGTCCACCATCCGATACCACAGTTTTCGGAATACCAAATTTCGCCCATATTTTTTTAAAATGTTTAATCACAATATTCGCCGTTAATCCGTGAATTTCTTGAAATTCTATCCATTTGGAGAACGCATCTACACCTAATATATACTTTTTTCCGTCATATTCGAAAAAATCAACATGAACCCTCTCTCCTGGTTCTACAACTTTTGGCCATATACTATTTTTATCCTTACGGGGCATGTCAGACCATGCATTACAAATCCCATTTTCCCAATTTATCAATATCCTCGTTCATTTTCGGCCACCATACGTACTCTCTTCCCCATTGTTTCATACGAGTAACTCCTTGATGACCCGCATGTATAACATTCAAAACTTTTTCCCTCAATTTCCGGGATATAACAGCTCGGGATCCCCTCATAATACAATCGTCTACTATAGCTAATTCTGTTTCAATATTTTTGAAAACTTTATCATCATTTTTCCATGATCTCTTTCCCATTATACATAATTTAACTACCGCTAATTCTCTATCTTTCCTTGTAAACCTCTGTATATCTTCCCATGTCGTTGGGCTACCCTTTATACTTCTCATTATCGTACGTACAAGACATTCTTCCCGGTTATCAATTTTCAAAACCATCGATTCATCCAAACTTTCGCCCGCACCTAACCTTGACAAAATATCAGGTAACTGGTTCTCTTTTCCCCTTCGATATTTTAAATCCAAATCAAAACTTCCTACTAACAATAACCAACGCTGAAGTCGAGGCGATAACATCAACTCTTTGTTATCTTTCTTGAATAAGTGGATCAACGGCTTATGATTTGTAAAAACAACAAATCCAATTTACTTCAAAATTTTCCAGAATATATAAGCAAGATTCCCAATTCCTTTTTGTTTTTAGCGATTTAGGATACCCTTTTTCTGTCCTTCTTTTTTTCGCTTTTTCTTTCCTCACATTTTTTCTTTCCCTTCTCATTTCCCCCTTTTCTTTTCTTTCCCTTCCGTTCCTTTTTTCTTTTCATTTACCTTCCTTTTCCCAAATGCATAGTACTATATTTTAATTTTTTAAATAAAATTATATATATATATTATTAAGGATTTTTTTTTAAAATTTGCCATTTCGTTTGCTTATTCCTTTATTTTGTATTACTTAGTAAAAAGAAAACGATACGTGGTTCTCTAATTTACATGACCATATATATAATATTTTAATTATTTAAATAAGATTATATATCTATTCGCAAAGGGGATCCTAGCTTTTTTGAAGTTTTCCAATTCGTCTTCCCGAACAATACTCCTTTTTATTCATGCTGATTATTTTGTATAATTCACTAAAAAACTATATATGCTTCGTTATTTTATTATAATCAGATCGAGACAACAATACAATAGAATTATATTTTTATAATTTAAATAAAATTATATATATTCTGAATCCTATGACCCCCTTTATTCCTGCTGATCAGCCCTATACCTATATTATATTTTTATTTAAAATCTGATATCTCACGATTAGTGATCCATCGCTATTTGTTACTCACCACTATTTGTGATTCATGAAAATTTTCAATTCCGCGCCATTTATGATTCCTAGACTACAGTCCCTCCCCGGCAGAAAGACGTAGCCATAGTTATTTTAAAGAGGAGAATTTTTTTTTTATAAATAATTAATTTTATAAATATATATTTTGCTTATGTCATAAGACTAGTATAATAGATAGATAATTAGAAATTAATAAGTGGAAAAATAAAGTTTAATTTTACTAGTTTTGGGTAGATTAAAATTTAATCATGTATATTTAATAAATATAAAGTTTCAAAATTAATGTAAAAACCTATATTTTAAATATTGTTTGGCATAGAACCGAGGATGGAGATTGAAAATTGGCTCTGCATACCTCGAGAATTCTTTGCCTAGGGTATAAATTTTCTTTATCTCCAGTGATCGTTGCTAAAAAAGAGGATTGCATCTTCGCTTAAATTTCCTTAGCTCGTCGTAACGAAGGATGAAAAAAAACGTTCTCTTAATTGAGAATATTTGTTGTTTAGATGATCCGGCAGCTGCGATGGATGCGTTTTTTGCGCTCGATTTAGCATGTATAATCCCATTTCAAAGATTGGCCTTTCGACCAAGATATAAGAGTGATTCTGATCTTTTATTGTCAGAAGTATTTAGTTCAACCGGTTCTAAAAGAATAATAACAGCTTATTTTTTAAATATAACATTGAAGAACCTGATAAAAAAATATATATCCCAATTTAATATTAATTCTAAAATAGATCGATTAATCCCAACAACCTATCTTTTAGATATGGAATCCAAAATTTTACAATTAGATTTTCCCTGGAGGAGGTTTAACCCCAAATCTCTCTGTATACGAGTTACTCAAATTCGCTTCTGTTTTTAAAAAAATACAACATGCAGCTAAAACCAGTTATTTTTTTTAATAATTAAACTTAACTATAAGTAACTTTAGCAACACTAATTATTTTAAAATAGACACAATTTAATATATTTTAAAGATATGTAAATTAATGCAGAAAAAAGATGATTGACATACCCAGACCACTATTTATGGCAGGATAAGTAAAAATCTTCGGTCTTTCAGAGATTATTTTTAAAAAAATTTCTTAAACTAACACAGCCAATTTTTAAACTCTTATTATAACATGTTATATAAATTTTATACAAACTCATAATAGTCGTAAACATCTGGCAACCATGTTAAATACCATTTTTAAAGATGATATCTTCGAAACATATTTATAAATGAATCCATTATTAATATTCATATGTATTTTTGGTTGATCGTCTGATATAAATTATATTAACTTCTATCGAATTGAATTCCAGTTGTTATTAGCTTATAATTGTTATACATAAAAGGAAAAAAAATACATTATGAATAACCGTTTTCTCTTTGTACTATAAACAATTCCTCATAAAATTCAAGATCTTAATCTCTCGTTTGATTTATCTAAATCTTTTTTTTTTCTTACCGAGTAAATATTTTTAATTTTAAGGTTTAATACAATATTTTTATAATCTTCATAATTTATTCCTCTATGGGAGGTAATGAGACTTTCCAGTTTGCCGGGGCTAAATGGGTGCTCAAAATCTAAAATATGTTTAAAAAGTAATATATCATTAAATTTGTTTTGCTTCAAGTTTATAATTTTTTAAAAATTTTGAGGGTGGAAAAGAAAGAAAGATCTCTAGTGACCCCACTGAGACAAGATAGATTAGATTAATATAAATCTATTATAAGCCCAAAGCGTTGTTTGGTGTGGGGTCAATACTCACGCTATCAATCCGTATAGGATCGGACCGATATCGTCTTTTAAAAAAATGGCGTTGAATCCGTGCAAAGTAAGAACATAGACAAATTGTGATCCCTTTTATTGCAAATTTGTTCTCCGAATTATATAAATTTACACCAACTTGGAAGTGAAGTGGTGTATACATATAAAAAAAATATAGAAAGACGGAAGTATAAAATTCGAATCAAAAAAAAATGTCTGTCTTTAATTTAAATTTGAGCAATCTGTTTCAGGCTGTGAAGCCCCAAAAATTTTCAATTCCCATTTCAAAATTTTAACGAAAATAAATAAATACGCTATTTTAAAATATAAAAATATGTCCAAAACATAATTCTGATTTTTTTTTTGATTAATATAAATTTCAAAAAAATTACGATTTCATTAAATTTTGAAATTTGCAAAAGTTTTAAAACTTTTCGAATTTTTTCTAAAACGGTTCTGGACAAAGCCTCAATTATAACAAATCTTATATGATATAAAAAACAATCATGATCCTTTATATTTATCCAAATTTTATAAAAATAATCAAATATGCAAAAAATCTCTTTTGTATAGAAACCGATATATGGGATGTTTATATCGCATTTTTCATTTTTTTCAATCGGCACTCTTTCCCCCCTTCTATCAAACTATCCCTAACATCGTAAGTGGAAAGCACTCTAGCGGAAGGATCGACCAGGCCTTTCCTTTCCTCCTCGCCGAACCATTCGGGATTGGGCATCCAATTTTTATCTACCAATGGTAGCCTTTTACCCTTTCCTCCTCCCTGCTGGCTGAAAAACTCGTCGTAAATTTTTCTGTAATAGTAGGCTTCCTTGGTCAGGGGTACGGGCGTTGGTAAATTTGGGGCTACTTCCTGGAATTCTGAATCGGAAATTAACGAATTGATCTTCTCTATCAACCGATCCCTGAATTCGTAATTTACCCCGTCGGAAAAAGCCTCTTTACTCCTCCACAATACAGGCGCAGGCAAATAGTCACCTTCGAAAGCGCGACGTAAAATATGTTTCTCCGCTCTGGGTTTTACGCTATCAATTTTGTCATCTACATTTGAGTAGGAGAAGGGCGGGGGGAAGGGGGAAATTTAAGATTTTATATAAATTTATACCTAATTAAAATTATTATATAAAAATATCGAAAAAAAAATTTGCCATTGGACTAACTATGACCATGTTTACTCCTTAAAATTGGATATGATATTTTTAAAAAAATGAAAAAATTGTTTTTTTCTTTTTTTAAAAAAATTTTTCACTATTACTACTACAATACAATCCTAATAGAAAATGTAATCTAATATTTTGTTGCAAATTTTTCACTATAATAATTATTTTATAATAAAAAAACTAACTTCATTAGTTTTGTTTTTTTTTCGCTGTTTTTTATGTTTTTTTTTACATCACATCACTAGGTATAAATTTATGGTGCTACAAAATTTAACGAAAATTATCGGGCTCATTTACAAAGATGTTGAGCTCAATAAATAAAAAAATATTAATTTAAAAATGAAACATATTTTCTTCACTCATTTTTAAAATGAACAATACAAAAATTTATTCATTGTTTTCTTTAAAAAAAACAAATTTAGGGAATAAGAGATACAAACCCTCCTAAAAGGAATATATGAGTGAATTATGGTGAAAATAGTAAAAAATTTTCATTGTGGAGCCCCCTTGCTAGTTATACTGCAAGTTTTATTCTTTTGCGTTACATTCCAAAAAACCCATAATACCTTTCCTTCCATTAATCATATTTGAAAATAGTGATGGTCAACCTGGAGCCCCTATAGGAATTTCAAAAAATTTACCGCCACAAACTCCATGCATCTTCATAAGGGCAGGAACGCGGAAAAGTACATAAGGCAGCAATTTCTTATCCAAAAAAGGTTCCCTCAGTTCAAGGCCGAAAGCGGAGAGTGTTCGATCGGCTCTGAGCGCGTCGAATTGATACAGGTTTCGACACAAATGTACGCATTCCTCCGTGAATGATTCGGGATTCGGTGCTTTTTTGAAATAGGAATAAGAACCAAAAATTTCATCAGCTCCCTCACCTGACAGGAGGACCTATCAAAAAATTTTTTTTTAAGATTAAGAGGCTAAGGATATTTGTTATAAAATTAGTTGTAGGCCCCATAATAAATATATATATAATCAGAAGCTGATTTCTCGTAAAAAAATCATTATTTCCTATTTTCAAAATAAAACCAATTAAACTTTCATGTAGATTAAGTATATTTTGTTTATTTTTAATTCTTCCAAGATTTTATTGAACAGCTTATTTAGCCGATATTTTAAAAGAGATAAATCAAGATTTTAGCCAAAATATTATTACCGAGACTCAAAATTCCGCCAATACAAGTCCAAACATTTGCCATAGCAAAATTAATAAGCTCGAGTAATTTATTCTTGGCCAAAATCTTGAGTTAAACCGTTTTTAAAAATTGGCTAAAACGGGCCGCTACAACAACACTTAGCTGAATGTCACTCGTTAGACATTCTTGAAATCCAGATAATATAGCAAAAAAATGTAAAATTTTAGACTAATTTTTTAAACATTACAAACAAATAAATTGTAATTTGATTCCTGTTCATTAAATTATTATTATAAAATTATTTATAATATATAAAAAAAATTATACACGAATAGATCCTATCCGATATTTTTTGAAATGCTAAACATCAGTGCCGATCCGATATTTAATATCGGCACAGGCCTAAATAAGTAATTAATTACCTTGACATCACTATGGGCTTTCACGTATTTTGCCAATAAGTACTGTGGTATACTGGCCCTAACCGTGGTACAATCCCAACTTCCCAAACTATATATGACGTCTCGTAAGACTTTCCAAGCTTCGTCAAACGTAAATTCTACCCTATTAAGAAATAAGACCTTCAAAAACTTATATAATATAAAAAAATATTATGCAAAGTTTGGATTATTAAAAGTATTTCTTTGCCACTGACTAAAATGAATAGGATAAAGAATATAAAATTTTAAAGCCCAAAAATATATTATTCGATGGGATATTATATACTACAAATAATTTATCAGAGACAAAAAGAAAGAACCTATGATGCTGAGTTCCCAAATGTTTGGCTACCATTTCAGCATATTCAAGGTCGGGGGATCGCGAAGCACCCCTATCTGAAGTCATCCCTATAGAAAAGGTGTGTAAGGTTGCTAGGTGGGGTTGCCTTGCGCACGTGCAAGTAGATTGACCAATCAAGGATGATGTAACGTTGTTAGCGGTAGCGTAATTTTGATTGGCATCGTGAGAAGATATCGATTTGTCCAAATCATCCTTCAGGTCATCGTTTTGGTAAGAGTTGAAATTGGTGTCGGAGGAAGGGGAATAAGAACGGCGTCTGTCGCCACTTTTATATTGTGAAATATTATTTTCAATGTTTTTTATTGAGGAATTGAGAATAAACTTATGAGGGAATATTAAATATAGAAACATAAAATAAATGTACCCGGAAGCTGGAATGTGGAGTGTTCCATTGGTATGCGTCGACGCGTCTATCACCTTTCCTTCGATATTTTTTATCAACTTTGTGCCGTGTTGGGTTTTTCCGAGTGCGCAAGATGTTGAATGATGAACGGTAGCCTTGTCCCCGCTGTAGTATCTGGCCACTATGCTAGTCACGAGGCTAGAATCGAGTCCTCCGGAGAGCAAACAGCCGACGGGCCTATCACTGACTAACCTTTTCTTGACAGATTGAATCAGGTACTCCTCGAGGGTGGAGCAAACGGTTTGTTCATCAGCGAATTTCAGGGGAGTCATATCTAAACGCTCGGGTCCGTGGAACCAATCAAAGTAAGGATGATACTTCAATCCTGTCTCTGACGAGACGGCCTGGTTTAAGGGTTGAACAACAAAGGTCCCGGGTTTGAACCGCTCCACTCTCAGGGGATCGAGCCCGATTAAAGTTTTCTCTTCGCTTGCCACCGCCCACTCCCCGCCGGGGAGATATGCCACGAAAAGAGGCCTGACACCTATTATATCGTTACCTAATATGAGCTTGTCATGATCTCTGATGGTTTTGTGAAATGGGTATCGGGATTGAGAAGTTATTTTTCGAAAAGAAGCATCATGTAATTTAGTTCAAAGTAATATAATTTGAGTATAATCAGGGTCGTGCACCTTTGGCGCGCCCAGGGCAAAAATATTCAAGTGGCTGGCATAATAATTATTGCGATATTGAAGCGCATAATAAACCCCCTAAATTAAAGTTAAATATCAATAGGGTTATCAATAAAAACATTTTTAAACCTTCTTTCCTATAAAGTATATTCAAACATTCGAATTATAATTCATAGTGGAAGTATTGCTAATAAAAATGAATTCTTAATTGCAAAAAAAGGATTTTTATAATACCCTCAAAAATCTTTAAATTTAATATTGCTGGATGTAGAGAAGGTAATAACTACTTAAATTAAAATTGAGTTTTAATATATAAAATTATGAATGAAAGGAGAAATTTGAAAAATATTTAAGAAATCCTCCCTAATCTCGAGTAAAAAAATATTTTTACATCTATTAAGATTATTGTTAATATAGAGATTTTCGATATAAAGAAATTGTACCCAATTTTTTAGCGATTTTTAACTTAATCACAAATTAAATATGAAAAGATTTTAATTCTTCTTAATAGATAATTAATATTCTTAAATTAAATACCAAGTTGACATATTTATTTATTTTTCAAAATAAAAAAAAATTATTTTAAATATAAATATAACACAAGCGAGCACCTGATAACGAAAGCGAAAACGCCATCTAGCTCCTTGAGCATAGCCTCGACGCCAAAATGGTGGTATAGGTGAAGCATGACGTCGGAGTCTGACCCGGACCGAGTGGTGTAATCGTAAACCTCTTTTAGCGCCTTGTAATTGTAAATTTCCCCGTTGACGATTATGGTTTTTTCGGGATCATCGGGATGGAATATAGGCTGATTACCGAGCTCGGACGAGTCTATTATGGCCAGCCGATGGAACCCGAAAACCAAGTCGGGTCGCAAATGCATGAGCTTACTGAATTCGGGACCGCGATGAGATATTTTGTCGAAGTGAGGCCTAAGACGTTCCAGAGTGTGTGTTCGACCCATGTAAGCGAATATTCCGCACATTGTAGTATTGCCGTTGTGTTAGTTAACTTTTTTAAATGTGTTGTTTGTTATAATATATGATTTAATATTAATAATAATTTATGCTACAGGTATGTATATGCTTACGAATCATGATTTCAATAATTACTTAAAATGATCCTATTACGGAGATTGGATGAAATACAAAAAAAAATCTCCAGTCCAATCAAAAATAGTGACACCTCGTGAAAATAGAATTGAAAAAAAATAAGAACGCATTCTGGCCTATAAATAAGTCCAGACCCCCGATTCGTCATGAATAGTGACATTCGTATTCGAGGAATGAGAATAATTAATGATTCATATTTCGAATAATTTGTTCGAATATTTTGAAAATGATTTAGGTCAGTTAATTAATCTTACAAATATACAGCTCAAATCTGAAATTGTTATAATGAATTAGCTTCGATTTAAATGAACAGATCGTCACTATAACTTAAAATGGAGCAAATTTACTATGGGTCTATAAGCTAAGACAGGTTATATTAAGATGTAATAATAAAATTATTTTCATTTTTTTACGTGAAGACAATTTTCTACATAACTGTCGTAAAGTATTGATGCTTCGATAGATAGATTTTAGCAGATAATAGAATCCAGATTCTAAATATCCATTTGAATTGTATGTTTGAAGAAAATATTATCGAATTATTTAATTTTTTACCATTCCGAATGTATAAAAAAAAGCTGATTAAAAAAATGGATATTTTTAATCAATGAGAATCCTCGTATGAAATAGGAGCGTAATTGATGGTTCATTGATACATTAGAGGATATGATCGATAGGCGTAGAGAAATTGAAACGTGGGGACATTCCACCCTTCCAAAATTAACCTGTTTTCGGAAAATATTTTTTTTAAGCTTATAAAAAAAATCCCCTATCCCTACATAGTACCTTCTCTACTTTCCCCCAAACACCAAAAAAAAGGTTTTAACATAGCCAAAAGCTTGCAATTAGTGTTGTTAAACTGCTCGATCTAGACTAACACAATATTTTAACCAAAATTATTATGCAAGCCTGGAGATTTTGATCATAGAGTGTAGAAAATATTGGACATCTATTAACGAAATCTCGATGCTTGGGTTAGCCCACACCCATAAAAATACAACATTACCTCAATAAAGAAGGCAGAAATATAATTAATATTTAATTTTGAATTATATAGCATATTTAATAATATTAATATATAATAATACCTAGACTGATGATGCATTCAAAGCGTAGTTGAATTCAAATCAGCTGGACTCGCCATTTTGGTGATCCATCTAGTAATTATTCTCGTAAATTGATAACTCGATTCCTTATCATCTCGATGATCAGACCCTTCTTTAATAAAGTTTGCGTCAGGACATAGGAATGAATTGGCCTCTCATTTAAAATTTTTAATAATGGTATGGGTAATCAAAATGGCGCCCCCCAGCTATTTTCATCGATGTACACTTTTAATGAATGCATCGCCAGTCTAGGTATTATTAATTATTATATGTCATTGAGCGTATTAGAATATCAAAAAAAAAATTGTCTTAGGAGACCTCCGTTAATATTATACGCGCATCGAAAGAATATTTTTTTCAAGCAAATAATAGGCTAAAATTTATAATATTAGACTCTAGAGTTAATGCAATTCATTTTAAATTTTACCTCTACTTGAGTTAGAAAAAAAACACCCAGCCAATGAGCGCTGGCTTATAACAATGAAAGATGCCTTATATTAATATTTTAAAAGTGTTTATAAAAACTTGATTCTTTTAAAATGTAGATCAGAAACCTGCAGGCCTGGCCATAAACGTGTCGGCCCGTATTTTGATTTTTTTTTAAATATACCCGGGCTGGGCCGTAACCTAATATTTTAAATCGTCATTCATTAAGAAGCTATAAAAATTAAAAATAAATAAAATATATTTGAAAAAAAAATCAGGATGGGGCCGAAATTTTTGTTAATACGGGCCGGGCCGTGGCAAATTGTACCACCTCTGCATGTCTCTGATAAATTAGCCATGTTAATGTAAAACTACTGAATAGAAAATTTATAAATATTATTCTTTCGAACAATTTATGTACTTTTTTGAATAAATATTAGTTGATATTTAAAAATAAAATAATTGTTGTTCGAATACGGATAATAACGATGAAATAAAAAAAATATAAATATAGAATATATAAAATAAAATAGAATCCGATTCAAATATCGTTAGAATGCCCTCACGGTTCGAACAAGCTTCGGGTCAAATATTTTTTAAAAAATTCGGGCCGAGTCGGATGGAACTTTGAATTTTTTTTAAAAATATATCTAAATTTATCAATTTTATGTTGATTTTTTTTTATGTAAAATAAAATTTTATTTATCGAAACTAGACGCCATATGACATGTATCTTTTATTTCGAGTAATTATAAATTTTAAAAAAAATAAAATAATTACTATATGTAAATAAATTCGGGTTCGGGGCAGGGCGGACTTGAAAAATTAGGCCCGATGCAGATCACTAGTAGCCTTTATACGAAGTCTATAATAACCGACGCGTTAATAATTATTTGCAATCGAAATTTTTTTCATTCTAAGGCCTTGTTTATAGTAAACGCGAATTACATCAATGTCGCAACGATAGTATAGTTGTTAATAAATTTTTTTTAATAATTATTTCCTAAATTTACGAATCGCTTGAGCGACATTCCTGGTATTTCGCACTTAATATAAATGAGGCATCAGTCCTCACCTAATTAACTTTTCCTACAAATGCGGCCATCAAATTTTTCCAAATAAGGGTTATAAAAGGTTACATTACAACATCAAGCGATTTAGATATAATAATAATATAAATGGAAGTCAAATTATAAAAGTTTTAACAAAAATACAAAGGATATAATAATTAAATTTTTATTACTTTTATAATTATCGGAATGTCTTTGAATTTTTGATGTTCCAGGAAAACGTGCTTTTAATTTACTAAAATATTTAATATTATACTATATAAAATAAATTAAGTAAATATTACAAGGGCTTAAAAATTATTTTTTAAATATAATACAAATATGATGCAATTTTATTTTATTTTATTTTATTTGTTTGTTTTTTTTTTGTTTTAAAAAAAAAAATTATTTTTAAGTTTATTTTTATAACAAAATATATGAATTATTATTGCTCTTTCTCCTGTGCTGCTGGCCTTGCTGGCTGTTTTTCTTAATAATTTATAAAAAATAATTATGTATATATGGCTATTATTATTTATTTTTAAAATGTAATTTAAAATTAATATTTTTTATTTTATTTAATTTCATTCATATTCATATAAAATTTATTCGCGAACAGTGCTCATTTGACTCCTCTAAGTCCATGACGCGAAGATCACCCTTGATCAAGCTCACCTCTCTAAGTCAATGAGATTTATCACCTACTAGAGGTCTGCATTGAACCGGTTTTTAGCCCACCTGCCAATCTAAGTGTGCGGGTGGGTAAAGAACGGGCGGGCAGGTTGAAAAATTGACAACTCATATTTTATTTAAGTAAACATTAAAAAAAAATATGCTCCCTGAAATTTAAACATTTTTAATACCTAAGTACCGTCAACTGAGGATGTTGTCGTAGGAAGAAATTAATTAGGTAAAAATTATATAGAAAACATGTTGGATTTGATTTATAGGGAAGAATATAACATCAACGTGGATGGAAATCTGATTTTACCCATTTCCCCAAAAATAAAGGGAATTCAATTAAAGATCATTAATAAATGCAATGTTCGAAATGGATATCATCCACGTTAAAATTAAACAACAACAGATGAGAAAATGTGGCTGTTGCAGAGGAGAACACAATATTTTTTTAGCCTAAGGACGGGTGGACATGTAAAGAATTTTAGGGCTAAAAAGGGGGTGGGAGAGTATATTTTTTATAAATTATGGGCGGATTGGACGGGGGGGGTTAAATTTTTAAAAAATATTGAACGGGCCGGGTTATGGACTAAAAATCCGCCCATTGCAGACCTCTATCACCTACCTTCTTCGACTCCCATTCCAAATCAATTAATTTAAAAAAAAAGAAGATCGGAATATAAAATAATCTCTCCCCCCCCCTCTAATTTAAATTACTATATGTCACAACCCCTGATGACGAAAATATAAAATGTTTAGTACTGTCCGCCATTAAAAAAAAATTTTTTTTTAAATTTATTTTGATGATCCGATGCATTTTTTAAAAAAAATTGATTGTTGATGATGTTATTATTTTAATTTAAAGCCTTTTGGATTTTATTTTCAAAAATGAAAAAAAAAATCCCTTTATCACCTTTATCTTATAAAATAAATATGACAGAGTTTTTATATTCTCACTAAAATGTTCTATCTTAAATTTTATTTTGATTTTATATATTCTCTCCATCTTAACGTGGCCACTACAAACAATGTATTGAATCGAGGCTAATATTTTTCGGGCCGGGTCGGGCGGACAAATACTTTTAATTTTGAATCGGGGTTTTCGGGACAAAAAACGTTAGAAAAAGGGTCACGCAAAACAAATTTTTAACGGGCAGGTCCGGACTTATAAAAATTAGGTCCACTGCAGATCACTAGTTATGATCATGAATATTTCATTTATATTGTGTAAGATGAAATTTAGAATCTTTATTAATAATTAATAGACATTAGTTGACAGAAAAGTTTGGACTTCTAATTACCAAAATCTCAATTTGGTTTAAAATTTTAGTTGAACCGTTTTTTAAAAATAGACCCCAAATCGGGCCCTTTTAAACACCCAATAAACATTATTTAATAAATATTCAGAAGAATGAATAAGAAAAAAAGAAAAACAAATTAATAATCGAGTCGCCACTAATTCTTATAAAAAAAATATATATAACTTTTTAAAAGGTTGGGTCAACTGCCAAATAAGATATAATTTTATGCGCGAGTATCTTATTATTCTTAAAAATCCGGACTGGGTTATGAACGATATGGGACAGATTCGATTGTATTTTTTATAAGACATTCATATCGGTCCCTATCCTATTTCGATCCAATATATCTGACGAACGACCCTAAAAAAAATTATTCGATCTTCTAATGGATACTGAAAATGTACGATGACTAGAATACCTCCACATGAGGTTTACCTCCGAGATTGTTATTCAGAAATTGATTCATCATCCTTCCCCCTTCCCTCCTCCCCAGACTTATGTTTAAAGGCTTTTCATATTCACTCATTTAGAAATTAATCGGTAAAACCATAGACGTTAAATTAGGCGTAATTTGTTTTTAGGGTTTATAATAATCGTTAATCGAGAAATGCAGATTACGATTTACGAACCTAAATAACGCCCTTTATTCTTTGGAATTCATATTGGAAAAGCAAATAAGAACTAAAATATTATTTTTAAACGTCAACCATTATTATGGGTTCTCGATAATACATTCTCTACATTAATATGGTGTGGAGGGGGGGGGGGTAGAAACACCTTACCTTCAAATATCTTTGATGGGGTAGATAGCATGTTCCCGTAAATTTGGGAGTAGAGATGCAAATCTCAGTATTACCAACAATTTTCTCTCTGATATATAATACACTGTCTTTATTTACCTGGAGAAACGTAGGATAAGAAGATTCAGTAAGAATAAATAATTATATTAGTTGGAAAGATTTGCAAGTATAGTACAGATTAGTGCGGAAGCTTTTTGGAATTAAGCCCCAATTTTACCAAAGTGCTCTAGCATTCAAAATGTTTATCCATATTTAAAATTTAAAAAATGGATAAATGTATTATTTCAAAATAATATATTAGTTTTAAGTTTGAACCTTCTGCTTCAAATTAGATATATTTATTAAGATTTCTGCCCTTATAACACTTGTTTTTATGTTTTACATAATTCTAATAGAGTTATTATTTCTTTCAGATAGATTTCGTACCCTTAAAAATAAATTATTGTTTACATATTATTTGTTATTAGAAAGTTCATATTAAAAAAAAGGTGAAAAACAAGGTATGCATTTATGATATATAGTATAGAGAAAATATCAATTAACAACGTAGATAGAAAAAAAAATTATTTTAAAAAATCGTATAGAACTTAAATCCAAACTTCTAGAAACCAGTTCTTTCTATTACTCCTCCCAGATAACGAGGGTTCAGTAAAGCTAAACATTTTAATCAAAAATACTTCGGATTAAAATTTAGAAAAATATATTAGTAAACCTGATCTAAATTTCTCGAATATTCAGGTACTTATTTAATAATAACAAAAAATTCACAAAATAATAATTTTTAAAAAAAATTAACTATTAGTTTTTTAAATTATAAAAGCTTTTATTAATGAATGAGTATTATTTTATTTAATACATTTATAATTACGAAAATCTTTAAAACAAATTTATTATTAACATATATCTATATTCAATATAAAAATATATAATTAAAAGAAGTTTTTTTTAAAAAAAAGATATATATTTAGGTATGGTCGGCGGGGCTTAATGACCCATGTATGGATATGCAGTATAATGAAAATCAATAGTGTTGTAACGAAGTTCGTTTTTTTGAAAAAAGGTGATGAACGGCGTTCCTTTTTTTTTGACGAACTTTGAACGTGAACGCGTTCCTTTTCTTTGATGAACGCGTTCAATTTTACGTTCGTTCAATTTTATAAACACTTTTTATTTTTATTTATTTGAAAAATTAATATTAATCCGCATTTTTTAACAAAAAAGTCTTATATTTTTATTTATTTGAAAAATTAATATTTAATCCAATTTTTTAACAAAAAAGTCTTATATTTTTTAATCAGCTGTTTTTACTTTTTCCTCTTTCATATTGCAATTAACGTACCATAACGTGCTACTGCTAGAGAAGATAAGATTAAAGTTTATTAATTTGAATATTTTATATTTTAATTTAATAGATTAGCATATGCATGGATATAAATATTTCATCATCAGATTCTGAAAATCAAAATTCAATATTAGATGAATTAGAATTACCATGGCCCAAATATCAAAAATATTTCACTGTTTTAAAATCAAAAGGTAATTCAATAGTTACCAAATGTAAAATGTGTCCAAAAAGTATTATATCAGTGTCAACATCTTCAAGCTCCAATTTAAAAAGACATCTGATTGTAACATTAATTATTTTATATTATATAATATGTATAACTATATAGCCAGTTAATAATTTATTTTAATTGTTCTAAGTAAAAATAATTACATAATATATATATAGTTAATTATAATAAGGCATTTTAATATTAGTCTTTAAGAAAAAAAATTTATAAATTTATTTTTTTATCGCTCTATTGTATTTATAATTATATTATCAAAATAAAACTATTATTTTTTTATCATGGCTAATATATTGTGTTGAAAAATATAAGGCATTTATTTATATTAAATTAAATTTAAAAAAAAATTTATAAAATTTTGAACGCATGAACGCGTTCATGAACTTAGAACGCGTTCCTTTTTTTGAATTTGAACGTGAACGCGTTCGATTTTTGTCAATGAACGTTGAACGCGAACGCGTTCGATTTTTTTAAAAATGTTTACAGCACTAAAAATCAATTGTTAAAAAAAATATATAAAATTTACAAAAAGAATTATATCAAAAAAATATATAAATTAAAAAAAATTAACAGAGAAAAAGAAAAGAAATAATAATTATTATTAATTATAAATTTACGGAATATAATCAATTTAATTCATACAGAAATTTGTAATTGAGAAAAGAAAAAAGAAAAAAATTTTATATATCAGAATCGCGAATATAGATGTCTTAATTCGAGAAGGAAGGAAAAAAAACTCTAAATAATTAAGGGAGGAGGAAAAAGAACTAGATTATTTCGGCTGCTCAGCATATGAATCTGAATTTCTATGAGTTAACGTAAGTAGACGCCTTCTTTTGAGTCTCCTGATTTAGTTCTTAAGGCTCTGCCAGGATTTTTAATTAGGTTAAGAGCCTGGCTCCCGAAGAATGTTAAGAGTTATGGTGACAATTGGTACGAATTTATATTCATCAGGAATATCCACATATTTGTTTTAAAATCTTCTGAGTATTTTAAAATGTCCTTATTGATATTGGAGGGTAAGAGGGGGTCAAAAAATAGGATTAATAAAATTATTATTATTTTCCAAGGCGGTGTACAAAATATCAAAACAAATTGGATTCGCAAAATTTTATAACTTTATTGAAAGCTCAAATATAATTCTAAAAAATTTAAAAAAATTTATACTACGATTTCATTAAAATTTTACAACTTCTGAAATTTTTAAAACTTTTCCTAATTATAAAAAAGATTTTGAACATAGCCTAAAAAAAATGATGAGAAAATGGATATATTTTTTATTGCAAAGTTTGAAACCGGAACTAGAAAACAGGAAATTCTTAAAACCGCTATAAATCTAGGAACTGTGACTCATCTCTTAAAATTGAGCTGATGGAACCTCTGCTAATGAAAGCAGCGTCAAAATTAGCGGGAGATAGGAGCATTTAGTCTTCAAATATGAAGAGGGGAAGGGGTAGACTAGGGGCCGGATAAACTTATTGAGAAATTATCAATTAAATTTTTAGATGAAGTAAGGCAAAATATACATATGTAAAAAATACATTTTATAGTTTAATTAAAACCAAACAATATACTATAAAAATGAATTTGTCGTAAATGAAGGAAGGATTTTTTAAAATTTAATTCATATTTTAAAAAAATAACATTTTTCACTCATAATTTTAATGAAAAATCATTACATTTGAGCCGATATTTAAAAACTTCTAACTCAGTATTTTAGCCAAAAAAAATTCCCTAAGCCTCCGGATTTAGTTTTTCGTTATCTATAAGCAATTCTAGTGCAATATTTCTCTGGATAAAAATACGCAATTAGCCGTTTTTTAAAATCGGTTAAAGTGGAATGATTTTCCATCACTAATTGTAATTAAAAACTAGAAAAACTTGTAATTAATAAAGTGGGAATATTTCCGCCAAAGGTGGCTAATTTTTTTAGGTGGGTAGGTATAGGTTTTGAAGGGTCCAATGAATATTCTTTCAACTAGGTCTTAAAAATAAAGTAACAGACAAAAGGGTATAGAATGAACATGTTGTATGAAAGCCAAAGTTTGATTAATTGCTTATTTGAAATGATAAAATCGAGCCATAATAATGTAACTATTATTTCAAGGTAAATGATGCCTACTACCTTAAAGTATTACCTTCTAATTTGTATTTTGTTTATTTTTCATTTGGATAGGCACCACCAAATTTATTTATAATATATATTTAAAAAATCGTGATTTTTGGAAATGGTCTGTGGCCTAGTTGGCAAGCGTAGCCTACCAATCCGATGGTCATGGGTTCGAATCCCGGCAATGATCAGGGATGATATATATAGTTTTATAATATATTAAATTATAAGGGTCTTATTAAATTTTAATAAATTTTGGTCGGTATATAGAAAATTTGGTTGGTATTTAGAAAATTGCTATATGTTGACTTAGTAGTAAGCATTATTAACCTTATTTCAACATAATTCATGGATATCATTTACGCAAAACATGACAGATACCATCTGGACTCCCTCTACCATTATTTTTTCTAAAAAGGGCGAGATGTTATTATCTAAATATCTGCCCGATATCTTCGTAAAATTCTATCAATTTGTTATAGCATATAAGGAATAATGTTATATCCCCCAAAATAACGCCGTTACTAATTTTGTTACTTTCATCAATATTTGTTGTCATATTACTTTATAGAAATAGTTTTTATTATGGCTAATATATAATATATCTATATTCTGGCAGAGGCAGGCGTAGGCATTCACGATGTAAATTATTTACGGGCAAATTAATTGTTACATACATTAAAAACATATGGCTCAAAATTTTCCGCAGAATACTAGGTTTTTTGTAAATAAACTATTGGATTATGATGGAAACATTGATATTTCTTGTAAATTTTTGCTGCCTAAACTTACCATGTTTTTATCAAATATTTTGAAAAGACTTCAAGCCACCGTAAATAATGCAGATGGCGGATTATATGTAGGTATTGGTGGTGTAGCATATGCCCTTTACAAGATCCTTTCACTAAATAAATCCAATCCTAAAATATTATCATTAAATGAAGATGAGAAGCAGTTATATGCAGATAATATGTTAAATTATATAAAGGTAAGTTTACAAAATTTAGAGAAAGATAAGAAACATGATGTAGCCTTTATCCTTGGTAATGCTGGAATCAATGCTGTTGGATCCATTATATATTCATTTCTGGCTTGCAATGCACAGCTATTATCATCATTCCAGCCTGGCATGGAAAAAAAATGTAGGGCTTTCATTTGAAATATAATAAATTATTTATGGATATATAAAAATAATCAGTAAATCAACATTATAACATCAAACCCAAATTTATTTTTTCATATTAATAATTTAAACAATATCTATTAAATACTATTTCATTAAAGTCATAGATATTTCAAATAAATGCATAAATAACTATGCCAATGGTGCAGTCATATGCCAAAATATTAATTTACACCATGATATTGGAGGTGATGAATATTTTATAGGTAGAGCTGGGTATTTGAGTGGATTGAAATTACTTGAAGATTTTTTTGGCAAAAAGGTATATTTATTTTAATTTAATATTTTATTTATATGTTTAATATGTCAATTTTACTCATATTTCTTTCCAATATGGTGACTTATAATCTAATACATAGTAGTAGATATAATTTATATATATTTATTTAATTTAACTCAAATCATTTTTTTTGCCCTGGTTAACTTATTTTTTTCATATTTCTATATCAAGTTTTTAAACTTTGGTATATTGAAAAAACCATGCTGCATTTTAATAATAATATTGCTTTAATGTATTTTAGTAACCTAATTTCTGAGTCTTTAAAAAAATAAATAGATAGTTGATGATTCTACAGTCAAAAAGATATTAGAAGCTATGATTCAATCTGGTAGGAAATATTCGATTAGTAAAAATCATCAAATATTTCCCCTGATGTACAGTTATTATGGTACCGAATACTTAGGTTATAAATTATATTACACCAAATATGTATTCCTTATTATGTTCTTTTCTTCTAAAAAATTAATGTTCCTATCTTCTTACACCTTGTAAACATATAAGACTTGGACTTGGTATGTGTACACAGAGACATGCTTGCCCTGCCCTTAACCAGCCCTTGATTTTACAAATCCAGGCTGGGCCAATTTAACAAATTAAAATTATGTCAATTAATAAGTTGGAAAATCATATAAGTTGAGCCTTTAAGATTTATTTATTAATTAAAAAAATTTGACATTCCAGGTTGGGCTGGTCCAAAAAATCTCGGGCGTGACTTCAAATTAATCCAGGCCAGACCGGAGTTAAAAACGTATTTATTTTTTGTTTCAAATTTCGGCCAGGTCTAAAATTTACCCAAAAGACTTGGATGTCCTTCTCATAATTATTTCACTTACCCCCCCCCCCCCCAGTTTGTTGGTTTTTTTTGTTGAGAGAACTAAGTATTTCTAGCTATGGTATACACAAGGGTTTTTAAATTTGACTTTCATATATGTAAAATTAAATTATGATTTGTGATGGATGTATATAAAATAACGCGATTAATTTAAATAGTTGGATGATTAAAACCACGAAATTGTCATAATTTAGCGAGCCATATCATAACCAACCTACTCCAAAAGGAGAACACCACAATAAATTATAAAATACATTCGGGTTTATATGCAGTTATGTCACTTAATCTATTTTCAGCTTATTTTTTCATTAATTTTTGGTTTTTTTTTTAAATTTTATACAAATTCCTTAAAAATTATTTATTTTACATGCGCTAATATAAAGAAATGTAAATATTTTTGATTAATTTAAACAAAAAATTGAAAACTTATTTTTAAAAAAACTGCCATGGAGCGAAAAGAACCGATATTTGATTTATAAGCCAGAACGAACCGATGTAGAATGGAACGAAACCGTTATTAAAACTTTGCATTAAGGAACCGAAATGGAACTGAATTGTGAACGACACCCTGGTTATAAATATAATATTACGGCAGATTCGGCATGTTTAGAAACCGGAAAAATTCAGATTTAAGTAAAACGGGAAACGGAACGGGAAACACGTTCCAAAAGGCGTCCCAAGATAAAAATTCAATAAAGCCTAAAAATATTATCATAATGGGATTAACCAAAATAACATGGATTTTTTAAAAATTTTATGGGATACAGTATGGACCTGTCTAATTTGGGCCCCCTTAAGATAAATATTTTTGCTCAATTTAGACTGCCTAATTTACCAAGACTTTATACTTTTTAATTAGTTAATCATGAATTTGATTGGGACTCAAATTATCAGAGTTGTTAAAAGATACTTTTTAAATGGATCTAGATACAGATACATAGTCTCAAAAGTTATCTAGATACAGATACAGCGTCTAAAAAGTTATCAAGATACAAATACATTTTTTATTATGCTCTTATAGGTTTGCATAAACCTAAACTAATATTATATTGTGAAAATTCATGAAATGAGCTAAAAAATTTATTGACGCGATATAACATTTATCAGAATATAACTAAAATAATGATTTTAATATAATATATGAAAATATATGATTAAATAATTATTAGATTTCAGTAATAAAATATTTTCAAAATTTTGATCCCTCGTTTATCTGTAAAGACATTTTTAGCAACACTAAATAGTCTTTCCACAGGGACGCTTGAAGGAATTGTAGTGTTATATTTAATAAATAACAATTTTATATCAGGGTATTCTTTAAAAATGCTAAAATCTCTACATTCATTTTTGAAAAAATTATTTAAAATTTGTTGATTATCAAAATTTAAATCATTATTAGAAATTATATCTGCTGTAGGGTACTGAAAAAAATCTGAAATTAAATTATTTGTTTTTTTGGCAGGTTATTTGCTTGTAGTCAGTTGATGACCATGATAATTCACCAGCTAATCTTTGTATCAATTGTTTTCTGTTATTAAGATTTTCTTCCATTTGCAACCATGTCCAATCAAGTTTAAAAAAAGGGTGGAGCATGCTTGCTATAATATAATCATCTTCAAATAAGGTCACAATAAACCTAGAATTATTAAATATTTTTAATTTATTATATTAATTTACCTATCCTCAATCCCTTTAAGTAAGGCATCTAAGAGTGGTAAATAGTGTCTCAGGTTCATTTATTTAAAATTCTTTAATTTGATAATAAGTTGTGAAATAGTTGCACAGTAATAAGCTGTGTACATATACTTATCTCCCTGCAAAATATCAAGGGAATTAGCTATTGGCTTCATTAGCTAATTTAAAATAATACTATATATATAAATATTATTTATAACTTACTAAACAATATTCATGAATAAAATCACATTCATTAGGTAAAAACCTAGGTAGTTTTATTCCATCACATATCTTGTCCACTTTGTCAGATTTAGCTTTTATAATTTCTGACATTAATTGTAAGGCATTATAGGTGGAGTTCCATCTAGTTATATTAGGACATATAAAATAACGACCAATATATTCCTTAATAATCTCAGATGAAATAGGAGACTTATTTTGCCTATTCCCATATATTTTGGCATTTATGTAGTGTTGTGTTATATTATATCTAATGAAGAAAATATTACTTATTTAATTAAAATTAGTTTTACCCTCTGATATTGTTTACACTGCATGGCTCTATTGGCATCCACAGTGGGTATAAGATTCAATGTGTGACTGGCACAACATTGGTGATGAGGTAAACTAAATGATTTTGATAAATTAGAATCAGTATTATAAAGATTTTATATAGAAATTGGCACAACTGCTTCATCTTCCAGATCATCAATTGATTCCTTGTATTATTTTCAATTGGCTTGAAAACTCTTTAATAAATTAAGTAATCAATCATATATTATGTTTATATTTATTTACAATAAAATAAACCTAAAACATTTTATAAAATTTTTGGCATTATCTGTAATGGTCTTTGAAATTTTATTTTGAATGCAATAATCCTTAGCTATATCTTGTAAATTTTTTGCTATTTTATCATATGTAAGACTACCAGTCATTCTTTTACAAGCCAACGCTATATTTTTTCTTTCCAAACTTATTGGATTTATATAGTGAGCGGTTACTCTTATGTATGAACTAAAAATTAAAATTTCTTAAAATTGCTGAAATAATTTATTCTTAATTAATTATTATACAAATTTAAATGTTAGCTATTCCGGCGATAGGCACTCCAACAATCTGCTGTTGTGCATATTAATGATGGTTCTATAAGACTTTTAATTATTTCTTTCTTTTCATTTTCCCATCTTTGGGAAATTCTACCAACAACTGTCTGTCGGCAAATTATATTTTTGTGTGGAGCCAAAGTGTTGATCAATTTTTTAAAAGAAGGATTTTCAACAATTGAAAATGGCTGCATGCCATCTATAATAAAAGCAATAATTAAATCATCTAAAGTGCCTTGAGTTAAAGTCAAAAGTCTTTTAGCAAAAATATTATTGGAAGATGAGCCTTGTCCAATATTTTCTTTGGTAGTTTTATTTTCCTTCCCCTTTTTTATTTTTGTTAACAAGGTTGGATGTTTTCTCTTAAAATTTAAATTAGAATTTTAAATATATAATATCGATACCCTTATGTGCTTCACGATATTGCACGTTGAAGTCATACTGACGGATATTTTTGTATTTTTAGGTAGACACGGCAAACATTTTACCATCAGAGAATTGTTTTCTTTGTTTTGAGATATTATTTTAAAATATGCTCTATAAATTGGCCATGGTAAAACAATAGAACTTGTTGTTGCTTCCTCTTCTTCATCTATATAGATCTAAATAAATATATAAACTTAAAAATTTAGTTATAAAATAAAATTTACCATTTCCATATTGTAATATTAAAATTTGTATGGTTTATTGATAAAATCGGACATAATATTTAAATTAATGAATATTTATATATATTTTTTATATATAAGTTTTAATATTTTATGTATATATAATTCTTTATTATAGTATTAATAAATATTAATATATAATATATATATATATATTTATTTATTTCATAAGCTCATATGAAATAAAATAAACAGTCAAATATTTTTATTTATAATAAAAAAAGGGGTATATAAAATGTATCTAAAAACAGATACAGATACCTCTAAAAAAATATCTAGATACAGATACCTTTCTAAAAAATCTATATAGATACAGATACTACATTTTTATATCTAGATACTTGTATCTAGATACTTTAACAACTCTGCAAATTATTAAGTTGCCCAAATTATCTATAGTCCAAATTAGATAGGTTTGACTTTTTTATGATGATCAAAATTATTTGACGTATTTTTTTTTGGATTTTACAACTACAGTAAAATTTGTCTAATTTGAGCTACTCATAATTCGGGCAACTCCCTAATTTGACCGAAATCTTTAGTGTCAATCAAACTTTTTATTATCTACTATCAGAAAATTGAAGGTCTTGATTAGTGTTGTTCGGCACGTTTTGAGCCGATTTTTATAAACTGCTAAATCAATATTTTAACAAGAAAACAATTGTCTTAAGCATCGAGATTTCGCTAATAGATATCTAAACCTTTGTGCCATATATAGGCGAAATCCTTAGGCTTGTGTAATATTATTGTGGATAAAATATAGAGGTAGCCGTTTTTAAAAATCGGCTTAAATCGAGCCGTTTAACAACATTAGTCTTGATTAATTGGGCACCTTATCTAAGTTGGAAATTCCTCAAATTAGAGATTTTAATGGTTATAGTTTTTTTTACTTGATTTCAACCAGAAACTTGCAGAGGTACCATTTGCATTGCCGGCCCGGATTTACAAAAAAAAAAATTTGGGCCAGGTCTGTGTATGTTTAAAAAATTAAAATACGGCCCGGCCCGTACTTGGACCAAGCTTAGGGCCCTGCCTGCAGGCCCCTGATTTCAACATATAAAAAAATATATATAGCATTAATTTATTTTATAATAACAAAAATAGGTGCGGCACACGGGTTATGTTCCAATCTCAAAATGATATTGACTTATCAATCTATCGTGCAGACGATTCCGAATGCCATGCGCGACGTAACCGCTACTTTAGACACTCTTTTAGACAGTCAATGGGAAGACGGAAATTTCGCGCCAACTTTGATGGAAATAGCTGGGGGGCCGCCCAATCTGAAAGACGAGTTGGTTCATTGGTGCCACGGAGCGCCGGGTAAGAGGGAAGGTTGAAATAAGGATGGATGAATGGATAGATGAAAAAGAAAAGGTATATGGGCAAAAGAAAGAAATCAAAAAAAAAAATTGTAATTTTTTTTTGTAATTATTATTTTTTGAAAAAAAATTGAAATCAACCAAAGGGGTAATTTACTTGCTAGCCAAAGCTTACCTTCTATTGGGAGACGTTAAGTATTTGAAAGCCGCCGAGAGGTGTGGGGAGTTAATATGGCAAAAGGGCCTTCTCAAAAAGGGGCCTGGGTTGTGTCACGGGATCGCTGGTAACGCCTATGCGTTTCTACTTCTCTACAGGCTGATGCCCAAGGGATCCGAGGCCAAAAACAAATGGCTAACTCGATCCTATCGTTTTGCCGAATTCATATTTACACGTATAACACATATACTCATAACTTTATTAATATATATATTTATATACTAATCCCGACACAAATAGATTTATTTACTTCCTCGAAAAAAAACAATAATTTCCCTTTCTTCCATAGGCATTGTATCTGGTTTTTATATATTTTTTGAGTTATATAATCTTAACTGTAAGCATAATTAAATTAATTTTTTTTTTAAAATAAATTAATTAATAGCCGAATTTGAAAAGGGTTCTAGAATTCCAGATTCCCCATACAGTTTATACGAAGGAATAGCCGGCACGGCCTGTTTTTTGGCCGATTTAATGGTTCCCGAACAAGCACATTTTCCATTCTACGATACCTTTTAAAAAAATAAACTGCATTTTTACATTTATTTTTATTCTAAATATAATTAATTTTAATCTGTTCCTTTTTGTTACCTTTATAAATTTATATGTAATATTATTATAGTATAAATAATTTGTCTATAATGTAGTCTTTAAAAAATATTTTTTTTTACCGGCAACAATAAGATTTTATTTTCTAAATAAAAAAAGAAATAGATACAAATTCATTAATTTAATATTTATATCTGCTCTCGGAGACCCGCATCGGTCAAAGCGAAATGAACACCGTCCGGCATTTTTTAGCAGATTTGAATTTAATGTAATTTTTATCCATACATATGTTTTGTGTGTTGAGTCAGAGATGCAAGGTCGTTACTCACAAAATCATTATCGGTCGATAAATTTCTGGGGAACTCTTTGTAAGTGGGTCCCTGTTTTTACATGAGGGGGTGATGAGAGGAAGACATGAGTGAAGTCTCAAATTAGAGATGTGCCAGCTGCACGAGGGATTATAGTCAATCCATCTGTCAGATTGGGAAATTTATTCGCATAAGTTTAAAAAAATTGTATTACATTTATCATAATTCATAAAGCATAATTTAAAATTCGGAAATTTAAAAAAAAAATTGTTTATTCAGTAGAATAAGAAGAGAATCAACAACCTTTTCGTAAGAATATCGCGAAATTTAATAATAAAATATTGAGAAAAGTGTCTATAATATTTGGGTGGATTTAAAAATAGGTCGATTGAGATTTTAGCCATAATAATGCAAGCCTTTAAGATATGGCAAATTGAGGTTCAAACCCTTCTGCAACCTATTAGCAAAATCTCCAGGATTACTATTTAACGGTTCCGACCAACAGGTTTTTGATAAATTGGAATGAAAAACATGAAAAATTATTCGTAAATTAAAAATATAAAGTATCATAATCTGTCTGCCATGTTAAAATGCTTAAAAATTATTTTATCGGTTGCTTCCCTAACTCTTTAAATAATTTTCCAAATATGCTACATTTATATGTATAAGGCTGTCAAGGCTTATTTTCCTTAAACATTGCTTCATATAAGCATTTCAGGATGCGACGGTTAACATAATCATTATGTATTTATTTTGTTTAAGCTCTTGTTACCGAATAAATAAAATATTAGCCAAAATTGGGGTTTCTATATCTAATACATACCAACCCCACTAGCCTATATCAGGTATTGGTTTATATGTAGTCATTTTAATGCTAACCATTTTTAAATATCATTTTAATATGGAACGAACTATTTATCGACACGGTATTGCTTAATTATAATCTTTCATTTTAAAGATAATTTGAATAGACCATATTTTATTATGAATTTATTAGAATACATTTTTCAAAAATATAATATAAGCATAGACAGGAAGATACCGTTCTCCTTTCTCGCTCAGAAACTCGCTTATTTTGTTTAATATTATTTTAAGCCAATAGAAATTCAAAATTTTTAGAAAAAAATAAGCTAAAAACCAAAATTATTCAATTATAAAAATTAGAATTTTTTTAAAGGATTTTCATAATTTGATGTGACATTATGTTTCTTCATTTCCAATCGCTAGAATAAATATGATTATAAATAATAATTATTTCAAATCAATCAATATCATTCGCATATAATATAAAAAAAAATTATTTACAACTCCATCGTTATATTTTTATATAAAATCTTTTCTAATTACTAAAATAATTTCACGTCATATTAATTTTTTAAATAATAAAAGTCTTAGCTTAATCCTCTCAATAATAATATTAAATACTTTCTTGAGAAGATCCTTTTGCTTAATGTGTCATCACTAGTCTGACAACATATCACTCTTCTAAGCAGCATCGAAATTTATTCAGTTAACATTAGCCATCTTCATTTTTTTTTATTCCTATGATCTAACTCACTTCTACTACTTCTATTGTTCTTCCCTGACTTTGGCTAATGAAATAATTTTTTAATATATTTTTTTAAAATTTCTCCTTCTGTCACTTTCCTTAAAATTAATTTTTAACCAGGAAAGGGGATCTATTTGAAACCCGTATACTTGGACAAAGTTTGTTAATGTCCTAAAGTCAATTTTAACAAATAAATTGGAAATTAAACATACCACAGCCCTTGTCATTTATTTATTGCAACAACTGTTAAGTCCATTAATTATTATATTCTCCATTGCAAAATAAATAAAGGGAGAAACAGCTTACATTTGACAATACATATCTTGGTAAGCAATATTCTCAATAAATCTCATCTAATTGGCTCACCACAGCTGATGCAAAAAAAACGAATGGAATTACACTTATATCCATCAAGGAAAGGTGGGAATTATCATGGGATTATATGTATATCCGGACTCACAGTTAAACTTAGTAGCTGTTAACCCGAGTGAAATATAGGTAACAGTTATTGTTAATAAATTTGAAAGTACAGCCTTATTTGAGGGGACATAAAATAATTTGGGTTTAGTGTTAATTCCTATATACAAGAGTTGGTTCATGGTCTAACATCTTTAACGTAACATTTAAAATGCTAGAAAAAATATAATATTAAGAAAACTAATTAAAACAGCCTTCAAACGCTTCCTTAAAATTTTAGAAACAGCTATCTGAAACGCTACTGTATTCAAAAATTTTGACTTTTTTAATTAGTAAACGCAAAATATCATAGTAATAACTCCTCAATAGGTTTAAACTTAAACAACGAAGAGCCTAAATAGTTTTTTTACAGCGTTATCAAAGAGCTGAGCCAAGACTAAATCCCTGCAAATTCAATTTTTAACCTGAGGGCCTAAAATCTTTATCAATTTTTAAGCCCGAGCTTGGTCCAGAATTTTTATCAATTTTTAGGCCCAAATGCAATAAATATAATTTAAGCGCATTTTACAAAAATAAATAAAGTAAAAATCACTAACCATAGAGAAACTCTAATAATGATTATTTATTGGTGAAAAGAAAACATCATTTCTATATATATTTTGGAATTTTTTTTATGCTTCTGAAGCCAGATCCTGTCCTCTAAGCGCTGAATATGCCTCTAATTACCTTTTAAAAATGTTAGGCCCAGCTTCGGGTCAACTTGCAAGGCTCTAACCAGGAATGCCCCTTAATAAGATTCTCAACTCTGCGATCTCATAATGTTTTGTTATATTTAATTTCAAATATTTTATGCACTATTTATGAAGAGGTAGATATGTTATTTTAATTTTTTTTTAATATTAATTTATATTTTATTAGACACGAAATGATCCTATAGTTAAAAACTAGTATATTCGCTTATAATTTTCCTGGATGAAATAATAGAAACTCTTGTTCCTAGGTTAATACTTAATAGTCCAATATTTAACAGCCTTTTAAATATCGACTTAAATAGCCAAAAAAGCAAAAAAAATAAATATTTTAAACAAAAACGAGAATAAAATATGAAAAATAGCAATCCTACCAAAATACTTAAAATAAACCAAAATAAGATCAAATATAGTCAGTAGGGGAGGCACAGGGGCTCCAGCCCTCTAAAAAATTTGAAACTTTCTAAAAAAAGAGTAATTTTCAAAATAATTTTAAAATTTTTTTTAAGCCCCTTGAGATTGTAAAGGCTAGTGGACGCCCCTTTTTTTTAGCCTATACTAAAAAGAAATTAAATATCCAAATTAAGCCGACCTTAGGACACAACCCTAACAACTGATTTTGATATTAATATTTGAATAACCGATTATTTATTATAAATTATTCAAAATAAATATTTATTCTCTTTAGTAAAACCAAGGGAAACTTAGGAGACCAGATATACTAATATTTTAAAAAAAAAAATTAGTTGGACTCTATCACATCGTAAAATGGGAAATCCCCAAAGCGAAGATGTTTAACTCGAATAATTAAATATCAACGTCGATTTGAAAATTCTCAATTCGCAACCTCAAAGCGTGACAATATATTATATATTTTTTTAAAATTAATATATATAAAGAAAAATAGCTTTACTACTAATTTCGTTAAAGGTAAACAAGTTCCATTCCGATTACAGAAGTAATTCTTGTCACATTTACACTCTAAATTTCAAATAAATGTTTAATTAGCTAAATTAGAGAGAAGTAAATAAATGAATATAGAAAATATATATATGGTGTAATTTTTAGAGGAATCAGATATGGTATTAAAAGCATTAAGAGAATGGAAAGAAGTAAAACATGGAGGCATTTTCTATTCAGAAAATTTATAAATAGATTCCCTGGTTTCGGCTTAAATTAAATATTATTAAGAAAGAAAGATAGAAATAAAGAAAGAAAGAAAGAAAAAAGAAAGAAAGAAAGAAAGAAAGAAAGAAAGAAAGAAAGAAAGAAAGAAAGAAAGAAAGAAAGAAAGAAAGAAAGAAAGAAAGAAAGAAAGAAAGAAAGAAAGAAAAAAATAAATAAAAACATTTTAAATAATATTATATATGTTAGCGTCTGTTATATTATTTTTCAAATTTAAATAAATTATTTGGGCGCTTTTTTAAAAATTTAATTTTAGCGGAAATGTACATTATAAATAAATAAATACCTAACCCATAAATTTCAGATAATTTTGCTATGAACTTTTGTATTTTTCTATTCAATAAAAAGTGAAAATTTTAACTGCAGTCAAATAATCCCCCTTCCTAAGACCTAGATCTGAATTAGGGTGATGATTATCATTAAAGTCAAAAAATACTTCAATTAATGTTAATCATATCAAATTTTTACCTAAAAAGGCTCCGTGTCACCCAGCAAGTCCCAATAAGCCAGAAACGTATTTTATCATATATATCCTGTGAATATCAGACAATTTTGCCATGAACGATTCAAAACTACTTTTAATTTATATCATTTTTTTTATATCTTGATTTTTCATATAAATTAAAAAAAATATATATAATTTTATAGTTAAATTGTTTGATATTCACAGAAATATTTTGTAATATGATTCCGGCAAAATCAGATCTTACAAGATTTTTTAAAAAAGGAACCACATAAATTATCTGAATTTTTAAAATCTTGCTAAAAATCCGGGTCTGAATTTACGAACCCAACACTATGAAGTTTAGCCAGGCATCTCTAAATTTAAAGGCCCAGCGAAGGCTCTGACATTTGCTAA